ATTGTAAATTTTGGTCAATGACATGAGACAAAGTATATGTGAACTGCTGTATGAAAAGTGAATTTACTCTGTAAATCTTCACCCAAATCCTAATTAAAAATAATAATAATAATAAAAAAAAAAGTATCTGGGGAGAAAGAGATAAGTAAGACAGTTAAGGTGTTAGATATTATGGAAATTACATTTTAGTGATTGAGGTGAAGTAAGGAGCCTGAAGACATGAATAATTCATTTTCTTTGGCTAGGACAAAACTCAATCTTCCATATACCAGTTATTATTACAAACATACATTTGAAAAACTGCAAATATTTAGAATCTAGAAACATGGAATTGGCATAGGTTAGAAAAGTATTTCTCTCTTGGTACCATGGAACTTTAATGTTCCAGTAAGCTAGTTATCAACCAGTTATCAACTTACCACATATAGTTGTTTCCACAGACTGGCCCATTCTTGTAGAGTTGCTGTAACCTCAGTTACAATAGAATCTTCTAGTGGAACCACAGTTTCATACTGCCTACAACCAGAGACAAGAGACAGCAATATTATCTTTGATAAAAACTCAGAATACTGTCTGCTACCTTTTTCATGTGTTTCATTCTAATTTTAAATTTTCACAAATTTAAAGAAAGGTACATTTAATTGATTGCAAACTCTTTTTTGGTGATAGTTACAATTTTACTTCTAGAAATAATGTCTTAGATCTTTTTTCTTTAAAGAAAGACCATAACACTGTTCAACTCTTGCTGAGATTAACTTAGAAAGATTATTTGTGTCTTTAACAATTTTAAAGCATACAACTTTTAGCCCATGCTCTTAGTATACAAGATCTGATAGAACAAAAGAAAGAAAGGGAAGGAAGAATGCAAAGAATGAATAGGAAGAATGGACAGAAAAAAAAAGAACGAAAAGCCCAGTCTGTGGTTTTGAAATACTTAATAATTTCTCCCTTATGTTGGTGTTACATTTCCTTAGAAACTGGCATCAGTAAAGGAATCTGAGCCTGGTAAAGGCATTCTGACCTTGGGACCAGAAAGTTTTCTCTTAGCGTACTTCATAAGCAGCGTGTATGTGGTGCCACTCCCATCTTGTACTAATTGCCAAAGATTTACCAGTGAACAAAAACGGACAGGGATTCTATCTTCAAAGAGCTCTTGGTCTGGATAGGTTGTCAGACAAACAAATAATCACAACAAATATATACAGACAGTGATAAATCTGAGAAGAAAACGAAAGGGTACAATAAGGGATTTTAGCTGGGGGACAAGACTGCAGATGAGAAGATCAGTGAAGGTTCCTCTGAACAAGTGGCGTTGAAAAAAGGACAAAATGGTGCAAAAATGACATGATGGGAAAAGTGTGTGAGAGGGGAGGACTATATGTGGTGTCACTAAGATGACTGAAACCAGTATTTTGATTTTTTAGACAAAGAGAACATCATGCACTTGGAAATAGCAAGAAAAAAATGTATTTCACAAAATTAGCATTAAGTATCATTTATTTCCACGGGAAGATAGCTGACAAAGCACCACCGTATTCAAGATGACTCAGGCATTAATACTGAGCATCAGTGAATATACAAGTTACTTGATTATGTTTTGTGGTTTTATTCTGTGTCACTTATCTCAGCAGATTAAAAAAAAAATTCCTCTTAGAATGATACTAGAAAATAACTTACATTCATTATATTTACAAGCTGATTAGAATAAAAGTTTGTTAAGAGTAAAATGTGCTACATTTTTTTCTTATGTTACCAGTATTCAAGGTAGTGGTGATCCAAAACTCAACTTTACTGATGATTTCAAATACTATTGTAATAGTTTGAAAAGAATGTGGTTTGTTTCTTAAAAAATTAGTAAATGATACTGAAGGTTTTCTGAGATGAAAAAGAGCAAGACAATGATAAATGCTAGCACTCAGAAAAAAACAAGTCACAAGTGATTTACTGTTGCTGGTTAAGTACCATGGAGTTGGCTCATACTCATAGCAACCCTATGTACAATGGAACAAAACGCTGCCCGATCCTTTGCCATCCTCACAATCTTTGCTATGTTGAACCCATCATTGTAGCCACAGTGTCAATCCATCTCATTGAGAATCTTCTTCCCCTTTTTCGCCAACCCCCTACTAAGCATGACATACTTCTCCAGGGACTGGTCTCTTCTAACAACATGAACAAAGCACATGGGATACAGTGTGGCCATTCTCACTTCTAAGGAGCATTCCAGCTGTATTTTTTCCAAGACAGATTTGTTCATTCTTTTGGCCAACCAAACAAATCTCACTACTATCAAGTTGATTCTGACTCATAGCAACCCCCATTAAGTTTCAAAGGCTGCACATCTTTGTGTGTGTGTGTGTGTGTGTGCAAATTAATATATGATTTATCAAATGTTATTTCATGAAATTGTCTTCACAGTGTTGATGCTACATAAGATAATTTCAACATACACAATTCTGTATTGGCTGTAGAAACTCAAACCCATTGCTATCAAATGAATTTGAATTCACAGTGACCCTATAGGACAAAGTATAACTCCCTATAGGGTTTCCAAGGCTGTGAAACTTTATGGAAACAGAATGCCACAACTCTCTCCATGGAGAAGTTGATGATTTCGAATTACTCACCTTATGGTTAGCAGCTGAATACTGAACCACTATGTCACCAGGATTCCTACTGACTATATAAAACAGGTTAATTTTGGATCCTGAATTAAACGTGAAATTAGCTCTATCTTCCTGCTCTACTGTGACTTGTTGCTAAGGTTTGATTTAGGTCTACATACTGCTATTTGTTTTTTATTTGTCATCTAATTTTTGTTTCTCTGATTCTTCCCCCCCCACACACACACACACCCCAAAGGTTATATATCTTTACAGAAGCAGACAGCTTCATCTTTCTTTCACAGAGTGGCTGGTGGTTTTGAACCACTGACTTTTTGGTTAGCAGCCAAATGCCTTAAACACTACACCACCAGAGCTCCTTACTGTTTTGGCAGTCCATAGTATGTTCAGTATTCTTTGCCAAGACCATAATTCAAAGGCATCAACTCTTCTTCGGTCTTCCTTACTCATTGTCCAGCTTTCACATGCATACGAGGCAATTAAAATTCCATGGCTTGGGTCAGGTGCACCTTAGCCTTCAAAGCAACATCTTTAGTCTTTAACACTTTAAAGAGGCCTTTTGCAGCAGATTTGCCCAGTACAGTCCATCATCTTGACTGCTGTTTCCATGGGCATTGATTGTGGATTCAAGTAAAATGAAATCCCTGACAACTTCAATGTTATCTTCATTTATCATGATGTTGCTTACTGGTCCACTTGTGAGGGTTTTTGTTTTCTTTATGTTGAGGTGTAATCCATACTGAAGACCATTGTCTCTGATGTTTATCACTCAGTGCTTCAAGTCTTCTTCACTTTCAGCAAGCAAGGTTGTGTCATCTGCATATCGCAGGTTTTTAATGAGTCTTTCACCAAACTTGATGTCACATTCTTATTCAGATAGTCTAGATTCTCAGATTAGTTGCTCAGCATACAGCCTGAATAAGTATGGTGAAAGGATACAACCCTAGTACACACCTTTCCTGATTTCAAATCTTTCAGTATCTCCTTGTTCTGTTCAAACAGCTGCATCTTATTCTATGTACAGGTTCCTCATGAGGACAATTTAGCGTTCTGGAATTCCAATTCTTCACAATGTTATCCATAATTTGTTATGATTCACACAATCAAATGTTTTTGCGTAGTTCAGAAAACACACAAGTAAACATCTTTCCGCTATTCTTTGTTTTCAGCCTAGATCCATCTGACATTAGCAATGATATCCCTCCTTCCACGCCCTCTTTTGAATCCAGCCTGAATTTCTAGAAGTTCCCTGCCAATATACTGCTGCAACAGCAAAATTTTACTTGTGTGTGATATTAATAACATTGTTTGATAATTTGCACAATCTGGAAATTGGATCACCTTTCTTTAGAATGGGCACAAATGTGGATCTCTTTCGGTTGGCTTGCCAGGCAGCTGTCTTCCAACTTTCTTGGCATAAGCAACCAAGCACTTCCAGCACTGCATCCATTTGTTGAAACATCTCAGTGGGTATTCCATCAATTCCTGGAGCCTCGCTGACCAATTCCTTCAGTGCACCTTAGACTTCTTCCTTCAATACCATCAGTTCTTGATCATATGCTAGCTCCTAAAATGGTTGAATATAGACCAATTATTTTTGGTACAGTGACTCTATATTCCTTCCATCTTCTTTTGATGCTTCCTGCATCATTCAATATTTGGCCATAGAATCCTTCAATGTTGCAATTCAAATCTTGAATTATTTCTTCGTTCTTTCACCTTGAGAGAAATGTCAAGTATGTTCCTCCCTTTTGTTTTTCTAACTCCAGGTCTTTGCACATTTCATTATAATACTTTACTCTGTTCTTCTGAAGCCGCCCTTTTAAATATTCTATTCTGTTATGTTATTTCATCATTTCTTCCATTCATTTTAGCTACTCTCCATTCAAGAGCAAGTTTCAGAGTCTCTTCCAACATCCATTTTAGTCTTTTCTTCCTTTCCTGTCTTTTAAATGACCTTTTGCTTTTTTCATGGATGATGTTCTTAATGGCATCCCACAACTTGTTTGATCTTTAGTCACTGGTGTTGAATGAGTCAAATCTATTCTTCAGATGGTCGCTAAATTCAGGTGGGGTATAATCAAGGTCTTATTTTGGTTGTTGTGGACTTGTTTTCATTTTCTTCAGCTTCAACTTGAACTTGCACAGGAACAATTGATGATTTGTTCCACAGTCAGCTCCTGACCTTCTCATGACTGATCATATTGAGCTTCTCTGTCACCTCTTTCCACAGATGTAATAGATCTGACCCCTGTGTATTCCATCTGGCCAGGTCCACATCTATAGTTGCCATTTATGCTATTTAAAAAAGGTATTTGCAATGAATAAGTTGTTCATCATGCAAAATTCTATCACATGGTGTCTGGCATCATTTCTATCACCAAGGCCAAATTTTCCAACTACCATTGCTCCTTCTTCGTTTCCAACAATTATCAATACGTCTTGATTGCATGTCTGGTCAATTTCAGATTGCAGAAGTTGGTAACCAATCTTTACTTTCTTCATCTTTGGCTTTAGTGGTTGGTAAATTTGAATAATAGTAGTATTAACCTGTCTTCCTTATAGGCATATGGATACTACCCTATCACTGACAGCACTGTACTTCAGGATAGATCTTGAAATGTTCTTTTTGACAATGAATGTGACACTATTCTTCTTCAATTTTTCATTCCCAGAATAGCAGACCATATGACTGACTGATACAAAATGGCCAATACCAGTCCATTTCAGCTCATGAATGCCTAGGATATCGATCTTTATGGGTTCCATTTCATTTCTGACAACTTCTAGTTTTCCTAGATTCATACTTTGTACATTCCTCATTCTGATTATTAATGGATGCTTGCAGCTGTTTCTTCTCACTTTGAGTTGTGCCACATCAGCAAATGAAGC